AAATTTTCTACAGTAAATCTTATCATATCAATCATAGAATATTTGTATATGCTGAAAGAGTCAATTGCATTTAAATTGTGGTTTTAATTGGTTGGCAATACAAGTTGGGTTATTCATTTGATTTATAGCTCTTGGGTGGTAGCGGGGAGGCGGCGATAGGTATTAAATGAACATATCCTATCATGATTGGTGACTCTAGCTCTTATTATTTACCCAATTTGCTCAAAAAACAGGATGTCAATATTTAACCAATTTTTATCGATTGCTTGGAAACGGAGTAAGTTATCGATTATTGGAAATAAACTCGATCTGCGCATGCACTAGGAGAACCTACATCTAAAATTTCAAATCTAGCTCATAGGTGTAGCACGGACAGACAGACGGACATGGCTAGTTCGACTTGATGCTGATCTAGAATATATAAACTTTATGGGGTCAGAGATGCTTCCTTCTGTCTGTTACATACATTTGCATTTTGCATACAATTAGCCTTTTTACCCATTTTTAATGGGTTTAGGGTATGAAAAGAAAAAGTTATAACTATAATAATAAGTAAATACAACTATTTATATAAATTGTATATATTGAAATAGTCTACGTCTAAAAAAATAAGAAAATAAACGTATAATAGTTTTTTGTAAATTATGTATAAAACATACGCAAACCTTCTAGAATTTCACTTAGGGCTGCCTTCCTCGGCATGTTTGGCATGAATATTACAGATCCATATTATAAAACTCAGTTTTAAAGGTGAGATCAATATAACTCGATAGAACCCCGTTTTAATATTTAAAGCAAGCAAAACGTCGTTAATTTGATGTTCCTTAGCGACTTATGACACTGATATTAAATAGATAAAACTTTTCGAAAGCAGACAGATCAACTGAGATAATAATCTATATTCAGATGTTATCTGTTATGCATTCAAATCAAAGATAGGTTCGCATGTCATCCATATTCTATATTCTTCTGACCATTTAAAACGCCATCTTCTTAACAACAAGTTGTCATGTCTGGCGCGGCTGAAAGGCATTTTGTGTGAACCAGTGACTGCTAAAAATGTCCCTTTGTATGAGGATGTTTGCTCAAGGTATTGTACTTAACCTTCCTTTGTTGTCATTGTCTGAAATGGGGCCTTGACAGAACGTCTGACAAAACTAATGTTTGATAAACTCCTCGCCCAACCCGTCAGCTAAAATTACTCAAGCGTGCTGTGGTAAAAGGAGCATTAGGCAAGTTGGCCCTCTGAGTCCATGTATTTTTCTGGGCTCTGTGTATTACTTTTTCCATTCTGCTTGGCGATTCGGTTTACTTAACAATACGGCGTGCAAATATGCCAGAAATTAAATTGACACTAGCTTCAATTGGCATTGGCCCATCAGCTTGTTCAGTTAACTTAATATATCCGTTCCCAATCCGAGCGCTTCGTTTGCTTTTGTCAATAGTCCTGCAAACACTGTTTTTTCCGTATTTAGTAAATTGAATTATTTGTTGTTCGGTTTTGGTTGCTGTTAAGGAAATGCTCAGCAAGTTTAGTATTTTCCGCCATTTGCGGGGTGCAAGTTTTTTGCTGCCAATTTAAGACATTAATTTCCCATCTCATTATCTACACCTATCTTTTATTCTACGTGTCAAGGTATAATTGATATGGATATTTTAAAATGAGAATCGAATAAAGATCTAAAATATGGAATTATCGTTTTCGCGTAGTAAAAATCTTGAAGCCGAAAAATAAACATTGGTTCTTACAACCCTTGACCCGCATTTTCCAACCAAACGGGTTTGATTGTGTAAAATCATGAAATATGAGTTGAATGCCAATCAGATGGTAAGCAAAAATGGTAGTTTCGAACAATCGTTTTGCACTGTGGCAGTTTAAATTTCTAAAATCTCAGAAGCACTTACTCGAGATTCAATGTAGAGCTTTGAAATTCATTTTGAACTTGTTCAACTATATAACCTTTGACCGAAATTTTCCGAATTTCACAAACAAAATGCGGTTCAACGATTTTATGGGCGTAGTTTTATGTTTTTGTCCAATTGGCTACAAGCTTTTTATATCCTGAACCCACTAATAATGGGTAAAAGGGGTATATTCTATTTGTGCAAAATCCAAATGTATGTAACAGGCAAAAGGAATGCTTCCTTCCTCCGACCCGATAAAGTATATATATTCTTGATCAGCACCAATAGCCGAGTCGACCTAGCCATGTCCGTCTGTCTGTCTGTTAGTATGTATAAGCGCAAGGATCTCAGAACCTATAAGAGCTAGAGACTTCAAATTTTAGATGCACGAACGCGCTTCAAGATTGTCAAGAGTAACATGGGCGGATTGACATGGGCCGTTGATTCCTACTTTTGGTTTCTTATGCGATGGACTGTCACGGGGAAGACCGGGGAATACCCGCTAGTATTCTTTACGTAGATATGCTTAAGAGTCGGTGATTACATTTTATCTCATCATAAAAAATCGATATAACATACACGAAACCAGAATTCACATGTTGTCCCCCGAAATTTTAAACGATTTTTAGAGAAAGTCTTTATCATTTACACAGTGGGGATACATTTATGACCATAAATTTCACAAGGATCAGGCTATAAACATCTATTTTTGTATTGGTATCTACTAAAGGAAATTTAATGTAACTCAACGCAGGATTTAGGGTATTGCCTATTGTCGGGCATTACCTTTTGTAATACGAATGTTTGATTATTTGCGCTTGATGACTATTTTGATGGTTCTGTGCAAGACGATATCAACTATCAACAAGTTCCCACAGAAATATTGTATCAAACTTTTATCCGAAGAATATTGAGGAAACCCAGATACACCTCGCGTTAGCAGAACCGAGCTAGCAATTCCATTCAACTTTGCCATCGTGTCATCTATACCAAGAATTCAGTTTCTATGATAATAAGCTGCTACTGTTTGACACTGTTCGCTTTAATAATGTTTTCTTTAATAACTTTGCTTCTGAACCGATCTGAACCGATACACTCCAGCAGTAGATCTTTTTGCGCTGTGGAAAATACGTATGTGCTCAAAAAGACTGAGTCGTTTAAATTGTGCCTTAAATTTGTGGGTAGTTCCAAATGAATATTTATTGGATTTATAGATATAGGGTGCAGGCGGAGCTGCTGATAGCTATAAAATATAAGTTATTTATCGTAAATACTAACTAGAAGCTATATGTTCAGTTTGGTGACTGTGACTCTTAAAACCTATGAGATTAACTCAAAAAACAGGATTTATATATCGATTATCGATATAGTGAAAACGGGGCAAAAACAAACTCGTAATGCGCGGACCTATATTCAATTCAATTTCAAGTATTTTGCTCACAAGGTTCTGCGATCGACGCGTTGATGCTGGTGCTGCATGGGTCGGAGATGCTCCACTCTACCGGCTACGTAGATTTGCACACAATTATTATACCCTTTTTACCAATTTCAATAAATTGGGTGTGTACGTAAAAGGAAGATAAATCGTCATAGTATGAAAAACCTCCCCTAATAGCCTATCGAAAAAAACTTAAAAGTAATTACCATTTCGTTGCACTAAATTTAGGGCGCTACACGTCTATTTGATAGTACGAGGTATATTTTCAACCCTTGACATTTTATTCGGTTAGTACGTGCTGATAAAGCGATCCGCCCTAAAAAACAGCTCTCCCTTGGCTTCCACGCATTTTCTTACGCCTGTAATTATCGAGAGTGGCGCTGAAAAGTGTTATTTAATAAATGTTAACAATTTCGACAAGCCTCAAATTAAATTCACAAGTAGATTTCTGTCGTCCATACATTTACACTAAGTGTATGAATTGTCGTCCATTTAGCACACAGAATATATTTTTTTTTCAACAGCCGGAAAAGTAAAAAAATTATTATCGATAAGGATAAGCCACTAAAAATAAAGTGACCCTTAACCTTCTTTTATGCATGCACAAAACACGAAAGCAACAAGAATACAGTGTATTGTATTTTATTGAACCTGTCAGATTATACTTATTAAGAAAATTGATTTGCTTTCTCCCCAGCCCCGTCTCACGCATTTATGTTTGGATTCATGTGTAAGTTACGAGAGCGTTTCTTAATGCTCTTACAGCGAAAAGTCTTCCTCTTTTTACCTACGTAAACACCGAAAATCTGTGTGGATTTGATAAAGGATGTATAGGAATCAAATTGGTGAGTGAAAAATGTTTGGATTAATTTAATGTAAAATGAAATTGTACATTATTACGATCTGGTAAAGTTGTACTCCGTGAACTTTTTTTAAATTTATTTATATTTAAATTATTCGATTTTCAAGAGTCATAAAATGTTGAATAAAGATTCTTCGGTCAACACAATTGAGCATTTTCTTACATCATAAATATTATATATATATATATATATATATATATATATATATATATATATATATATATATATATATATATATATATATATATATATATATATATATATATTATATATAAATATATATATATTATACAAACGCTATTCGCGATTTTTTCATACTTGCGGGTGGAATTTCTCGAAACCCTAATTTAACGTGCACCTTCATCAGATAAGGTAACTACAGTGAGAGCTTCCTAGCTCTTACGTTTTGAGCTGTACGTTGATCACCAATCAGTCAGTCAGTCAGGACAAACAATTTTAAATATAGAGATATATAATAATCATTATGTTCTCGAAAATTTAGTTCTAGTATGCAGTACTTTGAAAGCCCTAAACCCATTGAAAATGGGTAAAAAGGGTGTTATCGTCTTGTGCAAATGTATGTAATAGGCAGAACGAAGCATCTCCGGCCTCATAAAGTATATACATAAGTATATTGTGCTGATCAGTATCAATTGCCGAGTCTATCTAGCCATATACGTCAGCCTATCCGTCTGTCACGTCGATCTCAGAATAAGAGCAAGAGACTCGATTTTGAACGTAGGTGTATCCTGGCCACAATAGGTTCACAAAATATGTATTTAAAGATAACTTACCATAGTTACCGGCAGTCCACCGGGCGCACCATTAGCATATGAGTACGGTGACACGAGATATCCCATATTGAATGTTGGTGTATGTGGCTCGAGTTTATCTAAAATAAGATAAGATGAAGTGATTAAATAATTGTACGACTAATAATAGCGTCAGAGATGCCGTTAAAACCAAGACTCGAATTAGATATAAATAGATTTCAAAAAATGTGATATTAAATCGATAAAAATGTATTGTCTTCCTTACATAAGTAATATTTTGATATGCATGTCCAAAAATTAAACAACTTTTAAATGTGTCCCAAGTTAAGCCTCAAAAAGTTAAATATATACATGATTTTGGGAAGACGGGAAAACGGGGCTTCAAAATAGTGAAATATTCCTATCTGTGCAACCAAACTTGATATATTTATCTTGCAATATTAATCGATAACGACTACTTATCGATATTTCAAAATAGAGAAAGCTGTCAAAAATTATTAACTAAGTCTGCATATGAAAATTAATATTTAAATAAAAAGGTCTTCGCGGATTTTCGTCATAAGACTTTATTTTGGTTATTTATAAAACACTAGGCTGATACGCCGTAGTGAGTGAGATAATTTAAGCGCGAAGTCCCTGGGCCGATGTGCCTCAGTGAAAGCCGCATTAAAAACTAATTTCTTAATACACAGAATATTTCAGTTAAACTAAGCCAAAACTCGCATCACGCCACAATGTCATGGTCGGCAAGCCGACTCAGCAAAATCTTAGGCAAAAACGGTAACTCTTGCAGCAAAACAAAAGTGTCCGGTTACCGCCGCTGACCATTGCAGCTATAGCGCGCTGATACAAAGTATGCAGTGTCGCAATTGCGAGGGCTGTTCCTTAACTTATGAAGCACGCGATAGCGAGGGTTGATTATAAACTTATGAAATATCCTATATTAAGTGTTATGTGTTAACTACTCCCCCTTCAAGTATAAGGCCGTCCTCGGCCGACCCAATCCCGGCGACGACTTCTCGTAACTGCTTCGCAGACTTCTTTGCGTCGATGATCCGCCAAAGAGTGAGGCCAATGCAAATTAAAGCACAGCATATGGCTCCAATGATGAATGCCACACGATAAGCTTGATCAGTTCCGGCGTCTTTCTTGAATTGCTGTATCACCTCCAAATTAAGTTCACTCAAACGATGAAGGTAAGGGAGGCTGACGACATCTTGGCAGGCAGTGATGTTCAGCGAGGGAGAATTGGCAATACCCGGGACTCTATTGCGTACGTTGTTGTGATTGTAAAACAGAGTCCCGTTAATTGCGACTCGGTCTCCGAATGTGATGAGATGCGTGCCTTGTACCTAGATCTCAGTGCCGTTCTCCACCTGAATCCTTGCGGACCCGTCGTTAATGGTGATGATTCCGTCATCTACATGGGTGATTATTTCCAGGTTGCTCGGCTGGATCTCGCAGTGTGCCGTGCCACCTGCATGGAGCTCTTTGGCACATGAATTCTCTAATGCCAGACGACAAAATGTGGCTCCAGGTGAAGCGATGCAACTCTGCAGTATGTGGGTTTCCCCATCGCATTCGGCTATGACGTTGTCAAACAATCGCAATATGAAGTTCTTAGGTTGTCCTTGTGGACCACCCTCCCTCTAATGAGGAACTCGGTCCCCAGGTCTGCTTCCACGACCTTCAAAAGATGGGTCGAATTTCTCCTCAGCTATGATTTTTATGATTTATTTTAGTCACTACACTAGCCACGTTTGCGGGTCCAACGCCGAAGTCACGCACTTGTTATTCGTAGTCGCTCCCTTCGCCGCAGTCTCCGCTGCCCGAAAAGCTCCAGCGGCTTCGGTGTAAAAATATATGTAAATCACACTGCGCTTGAGCGCACCTTTGTAAATCACGACATTATGATCGCTAATTCACTGTAACTGCAGCTTATTGCTTCTTGTTGTAGTGTTCACTGCGCAACTACATTGGTTAACTCACTGTCACTATTATTATTTTTAGTGATTAGCTTATTATTATTATTATTTTATTTTTGTTAACAGAAAAACCGGGATTAAATAATTTGGACAAACCCTTGCTTAAACTTCGAATGTCTCTGAGATTGTTCTGATCACACAGATTCTTTACAAGTCCAATATGAACTTTAGAACTTATTTTTGTTAATAAATACAAAGTATGAAAAAGTTAAAAATTAAGGAAGCATTTCAGACCCCACAAAATATATGTTTTATTTGGAATAAGACGGTGATATAGTCGTCTCCGTCCATTTGTCTGCTTCTTATCGATGCTGGGAACTATTCAAAATTTTTTATTATACCCTGAACCCATTAAAAATGCGTGTAAGGGTATGTTGTATTTGTGCAAAATCCAAATGTATGTAACAGGCAGAAAGAAGCATCTCCGACCCCATAAAGTATATATATTCTTGATCAGCATCTTTGATGTAGGTGCTCCTAGTGCCTGCGCAGATCGAGTTTGTTTCCTATCATCGATAACTTACTCCGTTTCCAAGCAATCGATAAATCGATATCGATATCATGTTTTTTGGGCAATTTTGGTAAATAATAAGAGCTAGAGTCACCAAACTTGACATATGTTGTACAGTAATCACCAAAATAAAACAAGTAAGAGGTTCTAGTCGTGAGCTCCCGACTAGGGGATACCGTGAATCCTCTTCTTCCAACATCAAATGCATATATAAATTCTAATTTAAAAGCTATATGTCAACTTTGGTGACTCTAGCTCTTATTATTTACCAAAATTGCCCAAAAAACAGGAGTAAGTTATCGATTATCGGAAACAAACTCGATCTGCGCGGGCCCTAGGAGCACCTACATCTAAAATTTCAAGTCTCTAGCTCTTATAGGTTCTGAGATCCTTGCGTTCATACATACGGACGGACGGACAGACAGACGGACATGGCTAGATCGACTCGTCTATTGGTGCTGATCAAGAATATATACACTTTATGGGGTCGGAGATGCTTCCTTCTGACTGTTACATACATTTGGGTTTTGCACAAATACAACATACCCTTATACCCATTTTAAATGGGTTCAGGGTATAATATATATGTATTTAGAAATATTAACTTTTGCTGAGAAAGTCAAAAAATCATTTTTTTTTTCTAACGTGAAAACAATTTCTTGACTTACTGTATATTTGATACGATCTTTGAGATTTTGATCATTGCATTACTCATAGTCGGAAGTTAATAATTTTGCGAATTTTGCGATTATGTATACTTTATAGTAGGTACACATGTATATGTGCAAATATCTTTTAGAGGGCATCAATTAACCTATTATATTTCCATGTATGTATATGTATATTTATAAATGTACTTATGTAGCTGCTATTTTGTGAGTGGATACGTGAATGGATATGTATGTATGTGTGCGGTGCACAGAGCCAAGCGAATAGAAGTGTATGTATAAAGATACGAGATGATGTTAACATCGAAGAAGAATACCCGAGTCGTATCATTAAATATTTCACAGCTTGTTAGAAAATCAAGCACAAGAAAGACTCGCTGAAATACCCTAAAATGGTGATAAAAACGAGAAGTACACAACAACAAAACAAAAAAAATACATCTTAAATCAAAATGTGGAGGAGAAGGAAGCCACAAGCACGGAATGAGAATTAGGTAAGCCAACCCGCAGTCCATCAGACCGGCAGCAGCGGCAGTCGCAGAGCACAAGCAGCAAAGAAGGTACGAAAAGTAATGGGTAACAAAATAATCCACGCGTTCTCGAGACAACAAGCGTCTGCCAACTAGCGAGAACTCCAAAACATATCAACAGCACACTAACAATTTCAACACGGGCAGCGCCGTCAGCATCGGCTTCGGCAGCACGAACGGAACGAGACCGTCGATTCTACGAAAACTCATTAATTTCCAAGGATACACAATACTACCACAGACGTATTTGGGTATATGTATGTATGTTTGTTTGTTTGTATGTATGTATGTATGTATGTATGTATACGCACACACGAACAAAAACATTATTGCTTGTATGCATGCAAGCAGAAGAAGGGATATGTATACTTTTTACAAACGCACATATGCCTACATACATATGTTTCTGTACGTTTGTTGCATGTATGCATACATGCTTACACACATTTATATTTTTTATACTTAAGAAATCAAACTGATCGCCGCACAGTGGGAAATCTACCTTAATATTGTTTCAATTTACAACTATTGACTTATTGTTTTTCACCTCAAAGTTATGAACATTCCGGTAAATTGTTTTATATTGGGGTTATGCATTAAAGGCCATTTTTTAAATTAAATCTTTGTTTTAAATGCACTCGGTACTGAGATACAGGCCAAAAATCTTACACTGCTATCGCATATATTAAGGATACGGGTTAAGATTTTTTATGTACATATACATATTTGTACATGGATATATGAATGTTCGTAGAACATACGTATGTACATGTATTTATAGAACACCAACGTTTTATTAGAGCGCCCGCAGGGGAGACGCCCTTTAAGATACCCCTTTAAATCTGGGATCGCCTAAGCCCATGGCTGATTATGCCTCGTAGTCTTTTTTAAAGCTTGAAATGAACATTGTTTCCGCAGAATCTCCTTCAATGGTCAAAGATGTAAAGGTAAAAAGCTCGTTAACTGTTTTGTTATGGGCTTTAAAGCGGAGACAGAGACGACAACGCGTTGTTAACAAGTTATGTTTAGCACAACGCAGGCACGTCGTATTCGAAGACTACTAAAAATACATATGTATATACATACGTGTATATGTAAGTATGTATGTGCATATGAATTTACATATTTACTTTTTATCGCCATTTACTACCTAAACATAAGTATGTCGAATGCACATACATATATATATATCCATACATATACACAGGATCATTATAAAAAATTTGTTAGTTAGGTAAAGGCACGGATATAAGCCGGTTCGGAACGGAAATCCTAATATTTTTCCCATTACATCCTTAAAGCTAACCCAACCGGACGCATTTATTTCCAGCTAATCCGAACGCTAACTTTCAAGGGCATACATATGCATATACACATATAATTACAAATATTTTAAATATTATGGGAATGTATTGCTCCAGGCGATATTTTTAGCGTTAAGAAATAATTGTAATCATAAAATCGTCTATCAGACTTGCTATACTCTTTCAAGTTAACCTTAGTAAGATTTATAATGTTACTGCTTCAGCTGTGAGGTCAGCCTCAAGTTCAAATAAGATCGGACCCTATAAATTATAAATTCTAAAGATTATTCTACATCAGATCGATGAGCTACGTTCTGTTGGATCCGTCGATATACAAACCTTAAAAGCTAGAGCCGCGTGCTTGAGTCGCAAATCAATTACATTATTTTGATCAATATATTCTACCATTTCCATATTATCAATAAATATCGCAAGGAGACTTGATTTTCGAAGCATAAATCACAGATTAAGAGTATTTAACTTTTTGAAAGTGTTCCCGCTACCCGCTTTCCCAAAAGGAACGGTGTGTTTTTCCGTGGGTCTTTTTGTGACGTGTGAATTGGAATCTCGGTGCTTGGTTCACGGTATTTTGCTGGCCAAACACTGCCTTGGTGCAGGTTCATACAAAAAGCTAAAAAACGGCATTTAAACTTAAAAAATCTTTAAAAACATGCAACAATATACAAAATTATGAGCGTACGCCTAAAAATGTAATTCTCGGGAAAAACAAAATATGCGATATATTTGACTTTTAAGAACGAAGATATTCTTCATGGCTTAAAAACAGGATATCGATTCTTATCGATTGCTTGGAAACGGAGTATGTTATCGATTAACTGAAACAAACTCGATCTGCGCGGGCACTAGGAGCACCTACATCATTTCAAGTCTCTAGCTCGGAGTTGCTTCTTTCAGCCTGTTACATACATTTGGATTTTGCACAAATACAATTTACCCTTATACCCATTTTTAATGGGTTCAGGGTATAAAAAGACAGAGAGAGTATAGTAAACGCGTGACTGGTACGCTATGCCCTACTCATACCTGGGCATGATCAGTGAAGTCCCAAAGGGTACATATACTGCAAGTATAGATTTGATAGCGGGAAGAGAGTTGAGTAGAGAACACTTGGTACAGGCTGTTCTATTGCAAAAAGTGAGATGTGGACGTAGTAGGAAGGACGGGGCGATAGTTTGTGGTAGGTCTAGAAGGCTTGAACACGAATTATAATTAGTATATGATTTTGAAAAGATGATCAACTGCAAACAAATTGAATTCCGATCGTTTGTATGAAGATATGCGTATATGTATGTAACAGTGTGTGTGTTTATGTGTGCCTGCCCACACACAAATAAACTTTCAGAAATACAGAAACATACACTCAAGCAAGTACATACATAAAATCATATACCCGAAACACACTCGCTTTATTTGTTTACTCGATCGTTTTAAGAGAACTTCCACACAGTTACGCACGCTTACACACATGTGAACATACATATATACACGTACATATGTGCATGTACTCACACAGTCAGGGTACATAAACCGCTGACGGCCGAAAGAAAGCAAAATATAGCCAACAGAAAACTGAAAACAAAAAACAAGAAATGAAGTAGCGACGAGCCGATCTGCATCACCTTGTTAGCACTATGGAACGGATGCTAAAGTTACAGTCGGCGGCAACGGCGACGGCGGCTGCAGCAGCCGGTTATTTACATATCTGCCCCACGCCAACTACGGCTTTGCCTTCAAATGTGAGCACATGTTTTTTGCCGTCTTTTTTAGTTTGTTTATAAAAAACAGCACGCAACGCATACGCATACATGCATACTTACGTACACAAGCGCAGAGGCATATGTATGTATGCACTGCCGTGCATATACATATGTACATTCATATATACATGCATGCACGAGAATTTTGAATCGAGTGTCCGTCCAACGAGGATATGCCCTGCACTTGGCTGCGAGTTTACATAGTTGGTTACATACACTACACGCATCTACTTTATTATTATTATTATTTTCTATAACTGGCCAACATGATGTAACTTGTAAGGTAATAAGTAGTTAAAATTTCTTTTTTTATTAATTAAGAATTTTTATCTTTTAAGGTTATATACGTAAAATTTCAGTTGAAGATAAAAGTTTTACTTACTAAATACTGGACTGTGATCCGGCCTCGTCACTGTCTTGCTGCCCTTTTCCTAGGTGAAGAAAAGATTGTTATATATTGATTATATTAATAGTTATGGACAATGGTTTCTTTCGTGACACGAGCACGCAAGACTTATTTACAATATATTGTGTGATCAAATAAATGTGTAAATTCGTGTTGAAGGAGATATCTTCGACCCCATAGAATAAATACAAACATTATTGATCAGTATCAAGATATATCCAGGCAGTACATATGTTCACTATTCTCCACATATCTAATCCGCATGCAAAATGTCCGTAAGGGTATTTAATCTTCGGCGTGCCAATTCTAAACTTTTGCATTGTTATAATGGACTTTACAGTAGTCGCTGCCCCCAAAAAACAGTTTAAGGAATCAAGAGTACCCGAATAGAGAACACCCTGCACCATTACCAGATGCACTTTTTTTAACCCATTCAATTGGCAATGCGAGCAACTTTCTAAAAAAATAAGTTTTCCTCACTTGTTTTCGCCTCTAGCTTAGGGCCGTACACACACCACACATACGCACACACACACACACACACACACACTAATACGACACGCATATGAATGAATGAATGAATGTGTGCGTGTGTAAACAGAAGTTCTTGAGCTATGCGCCGGCTACCACGTGCCTTGGCCACGTTGTCTCTAATCTTGCAAGTTACCGATCCTGATAGGATTTTCAGCGGTGCATTAAGATCTGCCGAAAAATATATACATATATTCATCACATTCATCAGCCTTTAATTTGTAACATAAAATGTATGTTGTTCTAATTGGAATTTTTTTTTATTATTGCATATTACGTAGAGAGGGAGCAGCATTTAAAAAATGAAATTGGCGACTTTAGCGCCGGAAACTTAAGAGTTATGCTCCGACTAGGAATATATGAACTTAATGGTGTTGAAGATACATACTTCCTTCTGGTTTTAACTTACATTTCTACATAACCATTAACTTTAAATTTTATAAAAGATATTAAGGCGTCGACAAAGTATTTTTTGATCGATCATTAGAAGAGCTCATTAGTAGTCTTTATTTTTGATATTGGTCACTACACCGTTATGTTTAAAAAACGAAAAAGAAGGGCTATCTTCGGCACGCCAAAGATCTAATACCCTTGCAGACCCAACCTTTTCATAATGCTCATAGTGCTTTGCCCCTATCTAAGAAGTACCGGGAAAATAGTATATACCGAGTTTGGTCAAGATATCTTGATAATCAAAGTGTTTTTTCATACGACTTAATTTTCGACCGATCGTTCCTATGGCAGCTATATGATAGAGTGGTCCGATCCTAATAAGATTTTGCATATATATGACGAGCATAGTAAAACTAATAAATGCCGAGTTTGGTCAAGATATCTTGAAAAACAAAATGTTTTTTCATCCAAAAACTTAATTTTCGACCGATCATTCCTATGGCATCTATATGATATAGTGGTCCGATCTTAATAGGATTTTGCATATATATGAGGAGTAAAGTAAAACTAATAAATGCCGAGTTTGGTCAAGATATCTTGAAAAACAAAATCTTTTTTCATCCAAAAACTTAATTTTCGACTGATCATTCCTATGGCAGCTATATGATAAAGTGGTTCGATCTTAATAGGATTTTGCATATATATGAGGAGTAAAGTAAACCAAAAAGTGCCGAGTTTGGTCAAGAAATCTTGAAAAACAAAATGTTTTCAAACAAAAACTTAATTTTCGACCGATCGTTCCTATGGCAGATATATGATATAGTGGTCCGATCTTAATAGGATTTTGCATATATATGAGGAGTAAAGTAAAACTAATAAATGCCGAGTTTGGTCAAGATATCTTGAAAAACAAATGTTTTTTCATAGAAAAACTTATTTTTCGACCGATCGTTCCTATGGCAGCTATATGATATAGTGGGCCGATCCAGCTGCGTGCAACAGAAAGAGGGAGTTCTGTAAAGTTTCATTAAGATAGCTTTAAAACTGAGGGATTAGTTCGCATAGAAACAGACAGACGGATTTGGCTATATCGACTCGGCTGTTGATGCTGATTAAGAATATATATACTTTCTGGGGTCGGAGATGTCTCCTTCTATGCGTTACACATTTCACAACAAAATTATAATACCCTCGGCAAGGGTATAAATATAGGATCGACCGACAACTAGTCTGTGGGTAATCTTAATTATCTTAATTAACCTTTTCATAATGCTTATAGTGCTTTGCCGTATCTAAGAAGCACAGAGCAAATAGTTAATGACGAGTTTGGGAAAGATTTCATGATAAACAAAACAGGTTTTTCATAAAAACGTAGTTTTCGACCCATCGTTCCTATGGCAGATATATGATATAGTAGTCCGATGTAAATAAGGTTTTGCAAAAATGAAGGAGCATAGTGAAATCTTTAAATTCCGTGTTTAATCAAAATATCTTGAATGACAAAAAAGTTTTCCATACAACTTAATTTTCGACCGATAGTTCCTATGGCAGCTATATGATATAGTGGTCTGATCTTAATAGGATTTTGCATATGTATAAGGAGCAGAGTAAAACTAATAAATTCTAATTTGGTAAAATGTTTTTTCATACAAAAACTGAATTTTCGACCGATCGTTCCTATGGCAACTATATGATATAGTGGTCGGTCCCAGCTGGTATTGACATATGTGCTGCGTGCAATAAAAATAGTAACTTCTGCAAAGTTTCAGTAGGATAGCTTTAAAACTAAGAGACTAGTTCGCATAGAAACAGACAGACGGACATGGCTATATCGACTCGGCTATTGATGCTGATCAAGAATATATATACTATGGAGTCGGAGATGTCTCCTTCTTCTTACACATTTCACGACAAAATTATAATACCCTATGCAAGGGTATAAAAAAATATATAAATTCCAATCAGTCGCGATTATAGCTGTGGTAAAGATTACGGAATCCCAAATAGCAGAGTTAGTTTTAGACCGTATATATTAAAGGCACATATAGTTTGTAAATTCAGTTAAAAGAAGACAATTTCAAAGCAGTCACCTTTAATTGAGGAGATCAAAGTTTGAGTTTTATAAGGGCATTCATATCATACCTCACTCTCTGTTAAATCAATGAGGCTTGATTTTTCTTCGACTAAAAAGGTTCTCGGATGATATTTTCTCATCCTCACGATCGCCTTCATCCTTAAATATTTTTACTTCGTCCGTGCTGCCTAAATCATCACCGGATGATCCATGACGCGTATGTGTATGCGGCATGGTTTAACTCTTCAGGATGTTGGCACTACTTGGGTGTTACCAAAATTATTTAAATATCGCCTCGCGTGTTCTTAACTACCACTCCATTTAACCTTATGTGGGTATCCTGTTCGAAAGATTTGCCGTCCATGTCGCTCCAAGCGAATCAACCAGATTAGAATAGCTCCTTTATAACGCTAAATGCCGAAACGCAAACATCAAAGGTCCTTTTTACAATATTAAATCTGTAAGTTAAGCGTAAAACATGAATTTACTTTATGTTCATATAAGGTAAAAAATAAGATATTTTAGTCTTTGATAAACTTTATGATGGTTTTGACCAATTTTAAAATGATATAGACAGAAATATTGAAAAAATCTTAGATGATAGAGTATTCCATAATAAAGCTTTTATTTTTGGAAGAGGTTTATCTTACTCATAAAAGTTTTTAATTTGTTATCTATAAGTGAAATTATGCGATATATTATTTTATTATTGTTTATATATTATTATTCATATATTTGGCAGGCCGAAGATTTAAGCACATATCTGCAAGCCGTCTACAAGGGCATTAACTTTCGGCTTGTCGAAAATACCTACATTCTTACGTATTATCCGAAGATAATATACGAGAAAGTTTCCCATTAAATGTAAAATGTACTTAACAGCGGAGGTGGAAAGTCTACATTATATTATGTAGACATTATATTTGGAGGGAGCTATCAAAGGATAGGAATGAGACTTTTTTAATCATTTATATCCCCCATTTAAAATGTAAGTCTACCTCTACTATCTTAAACTCAGTGCCAAGAGTAATAATTTACATAAATATTTGTTAAAAAGTTCAGTCTATCGAGCGGTGAGAATCGTGAAGTCGAAAAATAAATGTTCTTTCACTGAACCTTTCTCTATTTCTCAATTTGATCGGATCGTAAGAACACTTTTCCTCCATTTCCGATCGTGAAAAAATTTATTTGAAATTTTCGTGTTCTTAAGATTGAAGCAGAAAAATTAACATTCGTTAATTCAACTTGTCTATTGAACTTTCACAAAGATCTTTCAAAGTTCTTTTACGCTAAGCTTAATGATAATGGGACTAAACATAAACTTAAACATAAAACCCCCTAGAATATCCTTGAATCGCCTTTTCAATATTTTTATAAGATCCTTGTATATGACCTTGAATCCGAAATGTCAACCACAAACCTTTCACTACATTTCCACCAACGGATGGATTTTGCGAAAAGTGTAATACACCTGTCAAATAATTCAAGCAAAAATATATGTAAATGGGTTTGAAGCTTATCGGTTTTCACGTTTTTCACTCAATTCTATTCAATCTTCAAACAAGAAATAACAAGAAATCTTCTATTCGACGCAGATCTAATACCCTTGTGGAAATTTGGCTTACGGGTATACTGGTATGTTGGCAAAAGAGCGAAGCTTTTACAAACTGGGTTTTGTGAAAATATCGTGTTTCTTATCTGCATAAGATGTATTTTTATGATAAGACTTTCATAGGGTCGACTTATAAACTAACAATGCACTCAAATACATTTCCAACGATCTACATAAAAATCATTTAAGGCGTTCCACACATTTTGTGCAAAATCTAAATTCTTTCGGTGGAAAGTGCATTTTTAAGTTTTTTTTTTTTTTTTTTTGGATAATTTTAAGTTTTTGTCCAATTTGCATCAATTTTATTTCGAAAAATGTACATAAGTATATAATGAATACGTGTTTACCAATGTGGGACATTCCCCTCGCAATAGTGGTAAATTGGCGGAAAACATTTGTGGGAACGTTGTTTATTTACGGTCCACTCAGTTTCAAATTCATTTCAAAGCTTTTTGAGAACAAAGGTTTTATAAAATGCGTGCTTTGGGCAATGCCGGTTTGTACCCGCTAGTTATATATAAAAGACGAGTTTGGCATAATATCTAAAGTAAAAAGGCAGATTAAGATACAGAGGTCCGATCCGGAATACAGATCTATTCTTAGTTTCAAAGTAAGAAGTTCTAGTCAGGAGCTCCCGACTAGGGAATACCCTAAGCCTTCTTATTCCAACACCAAATGAATTTAAAAAAAAAGTTCCCTTTGCAGGTGTCGACCTCTACTCAACAGCTACACCAGCAAAATAAAATAAAATACTTTCGCCGGTAGGGCTCGAACTCGCGACAGACCGCACCACTTGCTATGCCTCTTCTCAGCAGCCACACCAACAATTTAAGTACTTATGATAAAAAAAGGAACTTAAATAACATTACAGAAAAAATCGCAATTACCATGCTGTTAGAATGCGAAGCAGACGCGCTTGATGTGTGTGTGTACATGTATGCAGAAATTCTAAACGATGCTGCTCTATTCAATTGCCGCAGTTGCATATAACTTTGGTTTTTTCTTAACCGTACTTTATGAAATTTTCTAAGATATAGTTTATTGTACCATATAATATTTATGTATACTGAAAAAGCCAATTGCGTTTTAAATTGGTGCTTAAATTGTTTGGCAATAAAAGTTGGGCTATTACTTGATTTATAGCTCTGGGGAAGTAGCTGGGAGGTGGCGATAGGTATAAAATGTAAGATACTTGACAAATATATAATATTCCAGAAGCAACATATCATGTTTGGTGACTTTAGCTCTTATTGTTTACCCAATTTTCTTAAAAAACAGGATGTCGATATCATTTGTTATCGAGTTGCTTAGAAACGAAGTTAAGTTATCGACTATCGGAAACAAGCTCGATTCTGCGCAGGCACTAGGAGGTCCTACATCTAATTTCAAGTCTGTAGCTCTTTAAGGTTCTGATATCCTTGTGTTCATATTGTACATACGGGCAGACGGGACTGACCAGACGCACAGACGACATGGCTTAGATCGACTCAGCTGTTGATGCTGATCAGAAATACTCAAAAAGTCAAAAATCGTTTGGAAAAATATATTGTTTGGTTCTGACTCGGCTGATTTTAGGAGATGTTTTTGAAGTCCAGACTCGAACCGTTGGGAATGCTGGTCAGGGCAATGGCCTGAGTTAAAGAATCCATTATCGAAGTGCTCTGTCACTTTTATAGCGGAATAGATGGGACATACATAAATCCTTTGCCAAATCCCACGATATATAACCAAATTCTTCAAGACACTAAATATATCCTATTAATTGCCCCATGGAAACTACTCTTAATGTAGAGGTGATCTTAGGCGAAAAAAGCAGCTAGGTATGTACTTTATTATGCTCACCAATTAAATTTAATGAAAACACTGTTGTTGAATTTAAGTTTGACATCTACTTATGATTCTGCATACGTCCTAGTATCACCTAATAGATTGAAAAATCTTTAACTTGTATCTTCTAATTATAACGCATAGAAAGAAATATCTTCGACAGCTAAAGCATATATGTTCATGATCCACATTAGCATGCAAGGTAGTCTCTCATTAATAGGGCTATGGTAATGAATCTTTTCCTAGGTGCGTCTTTCTTTGCAGGCAGTCTATATAATCGATCGAAATGAAAATTATCTCGAGCAAACTCGTAATTTTTGGTTTCACTACTACACTTGAGACCAATCTATCATAAGCTGACCACATTGATATTTCTTTCAGTTGCATGTGTATCAATTTCACCAGTCTATTCTGATCGCTACCAAGCGAAGACTGCAAATATTGTGGCATTTCGAACATTGGTATTTACAACATTGAAATTGTTTTCGGCTTTCTTCGACCCTTTTAGAAAGTTGGCTTTCGGCTTGCAACTTCCCAGTTGGTTAGACGCTTAAGATGTCTTGAAAAACCAAAATGCTGTTCGTACAAGAGCTATATTTAGACCGATCTTTACTTCGGCAGATTTAGCATAGCGAAGGTCGAAGATCAGATAGCTGACCCCATAGCAGAGAGGAGCGAGAGAGAGAGAGGAGAGAGAGAGAGAGAGAGAGAGAGAGAGAAGAGAGAGAGAGAGAGAGAGAGAGATAGAGAGAGAGAGAGAGAGAGAGAGAGAGAGAGAGGGGAGGGGAGAAAGAGTGAGAGAAATCAAAATCCCAGTGCCTACTAAAATGGAGTTAAATGAGAAAGAAAGGCTATCTTCGGCACTCCGAAGACTATACCCTTGCAGACCCAACCTTTTCATAATGCTTGTACTGCTTTGCCCGTATTTAAGCGGACAGAAACAGGCACTTCTGCAAGGTTTCATAAAGATACCTTTAAGACCGAGAGACTAGTTCGCATAAAAACAGACAGATGGAAATATCTATATCGACTCGGCTGTTAATACTGATGAAGAATATATATACTTGAAGGGGGTCGCAAATGTCTTCTCTTGCGTTACACATTTCACGACAAAATTATAATACCCTCTACAAGGATATACAAATAGGCATAGAAAGTTGTGTAAAAATCATCATAACAGACACGCAGATCCCAAAATATACATATGTATATTGATTAGGACGACAGCTCAGTCGATCCCAATACATTTGTTCCGGGTTGTAAAAACAAAGACATCAAATTTAAAATATGTTTTTATATTTTTCTCAAGGCACCTTTAATAGTTTTATAACTAACTAAAACGAGATAGAAAGGCTCTTCGGCCCGCCGATGATTTTAATACCCTTGCAGACCCAACCTTTTTATAATGCTTATAGTACTTTGCCCATATCTTAGAAGCACAGCGAAAATAGTTAAGGCCGAGTTTGGGCAAGATATCTTGATAAGCAAAACGGTTTTTAATCAAAAACCTAGTTTTCGACAGATGGCAGATATATGATACAGTGGTCCGATCAGCTGCTTTTGACAATTGTGCTGCGTGCAACAGAAAGAGGGACTTCTGCAAAGTTTCATTAAGATAGCTTTAAAAGAGACTAGTTCGCATAGAAAGAGACAGACGAACATGGCTAGATCGACTCGGCTATTGATGCTGATCAAGAATATATCACTTTATTGGGTCGGAGATACTTCCTTCTGCCAGTTACATACATTTGGATTTTGCACAAATACAATATTCCCTTATACCCATTTTTAATGGGTTCAGGGTATAAAAAACCGGAACAGTAATCGCACTTTTTTCACAGCTGTACATATGTATGAGTATTATGCCAT